GCATAGCTAATCCTCTGCTAAGCTGCCCAATGCTGTGAAATTTGAGAATTTCTTTGCACATGCAAGTATTTTCACTATAATGTATGAGAGTCAGATCCAAGGGCTGAGCGGAGAAGAAGAAACAAGAGCATTAAAGAGCACTGGGGGAGGTGGAGCCAGGAACTTCCCATTGCTCCTGATCTGCCCCTCACCCAGGCACCCCTTCTCCATGGGATCCTCATCCATGAAGGGTCCCACACCACCAGCAGCTTTTAGACCTCTTTAGAAAAACTTAACACACGACATGCAGTGCCTCACATAGCAGCTCTTGCCCAGGGTTATATCCTCATTTCCTGGCAGAGCACGCGCAAATCAATGGGCTGCTTTTATGGTTTGGCTTTTTTTTTTTTCTTTTCCTCCCTGAGGAGCATGAATTTCTATTCCAAGGCTAAGTCGTGCTTCAAACACACGGAGCAGCATATGTTATTTCTTCACCTACCAATCAAGAGACTAGAAGAAACCAGCCTGGTACTTATATATCTGCCATTTCATAAATGCTAGGCAATACCCTAGAACTGTCTTCATCGCAGCATCCAGTCTGTCCCAGCAGACAGCCCAAGAAAAGGAGGCGATACAAACGATGAAAAGAAGCCAGGCTACAGCAACCAAAAGGTTCAGTTTTGAAAAACAGTCATTTTAGTGGCTAGAAATAAGGAGCAACAAATTTGTCACTTGTCTTTCATACCTTGTCTGCACATACTCTGCATAAACACCCCTGAAGAGTTCATACAGTGCAAAACTGGCTATGCCAACTCTGCACCCGTTTGACAGAATCCTAAGGATCTGCCTGCAACTATAAAGACTCCTGGCCATGATTTCACACTGATGGCACCAAAGGAACAAACAAGAAGCAGCACATTTGGCCCATAGCGACCTAGCAGCAAGAGACACAACCGTAGGAACTGGTTCCAAAGGCAACTTGGGACATCGCAGGGCAAGGAGATCCCGAAGCAAGGGGGCTGCCAGCTAAGCAAGCATTGCTTCATAGGGACAGACAGAGAGACAGACAACAGCAGCAGTTCTAGGAACGAGCCTTGCCCAAGAACTCCAAAAATAAGTTACAATTTCTCAAAGCAGTCTTTCAGTCAAATATATTTGATGTAATTAAAAATGAAAGGTAGATGAGGAGAATTAAGTTCCCCTCAATTTAGACAGGAACTCATATCTTAAAATGCACCAGAGGCGTAGAGTAATCTTCCAGAAATGTTTTCCCTGTCACATCTTACTGTTTAATTATATATTACCATTCCAAGCTAACATGACATATTTTAAGTGAGTTTGTCTTTTTTCCATAATTAATCATAGCAAAGACTCATCTGTTCTTCAAGCCCAGTGATGACAGCGCTGTTTTCACCACTGTAAGGCAATCATCCCACAGCATTCCTTCCTGAAAGCTATTGCAACAAGAAAAGCTCACCTATCTGCACAAGATGCCTTTAGAAGATATAAATCAGCTCCATATACATTACTTCATACTTTAGGGAAGTAAAAGAGGGAAAACGACTTTTCCATAGCAAGCAATCATACAGACACAGGCTAATAATGCTAAGTAAATGCTAATTATAAATATATAATCCCAACATAACCACCCAGGAACAAGTAATCCTACCCCTTAAATATCAGATACTCAGAGCCATCAGCATCCACCACTGGTGCAGGAGGACGGAAGGCAAAGAGACTAAGCCTCCCTTATAATTACCAAGGCCAAAAGTTATTTTAAAGGCAGCTTGGGTCACCAACATATTCTATTCTAAGTGCAGAAGATGCATCTTCAAAAATAACTTGTAGCTACTTGTAGATCAGTGCTAGCAAACTATCTAATCAAAGAAGAGACACATCCAAAGCAGGAAAATAAGAAATGCTAATTGGACAACAAAGAAGCCTGTCTTTCTTTTTTTAGTACCATAAGTCACAAACCTGATATTACTGGACACACACACACAAGACTTTTGCTTTGGAAAAATCAAGCATTTATCACTTAGAACAGTTACAGCATATGGCACATTCACAGAAAGTTTTCTTGCTGACTGCTCAAGGCAAAGGCAGTTCCAACAATCAATAATACACGGGTATCTCTGTTCAACATGTTTTATCCTTCACCCTCTGCATCTGAACTCCCCAAAGGATGAATTAAAAACTTGCAAAATTACTTCCCCCCACCCCCATCTGTGAAATCCTGTGACACACACGTTTGGGGTTTAGTGGAGTTACTCAGTACAAGCAACAAATAGAAATCCAATGCACTGTTAATTGATTTTGATTGCTCTGTAAAAAAATTTATTATTTTTGGCAGTCCTGATATATCCTTCGCATGGTGTGCTGGTAGTTCCCCAATTACAAGTCCTTACAAAAAAAGGTTACATAGCTTGCTCTGCTTATAAAAACAGGCATAAATGGGCACCACACTGCCCAGAGCAGATGTGAAACTTTGCATGCTTTCTTACAGTCATGTAATAAACGTTAGATCAAAGCTCGAGTTTTCAATAACCAATCACTGTATTAACAGTGACACCCTTATGGCTTTTTAGGTGCTTTCAAGTTTTCCAAAGCAAGATAACTGAAGCAGCAACGACTACAAAGAAGACAACATATTCAGTTTCACAGGTTGCTAGTGACCAAAGTTTACAGTTGTATCCAAGTATTTGGATACATTTTTCCTAGTGGCACTCTTTGTTAAGGCCTGACCTCCAAAAGAGAATTTCCTTCCAAGTTATAACAAAATACAAGATTTAGCCATGTATCTTAACCATCAATTTCAGAAGATGAATGTATTTAAATAACCAAGATATCCTGACAGCTTCATGACCTGTTCAAAAAAGATGAAGAACATGTTGAAAAGGACACAGACAATTGCCCAGGAGAGCACAGAGAGGGAGAGTGATCTTTACAGAGGACACTATACATCTCTCTTCTTTCATTTACAAGAATAGATTCAACTCTATTTCAGTGTTCCTATTTAAAAATGCTAAGGAATAATATGCACTCAATAATATTATGACATATATCAATATTATGACATATTAAATCACTAGAAGTGGGGTTTGTATCTTATTTGTTAAGAGTGAAAATATTAAAGGCACATTCACATGCTCTTTTTAATCAAAGTGCTAAAGAATTCCCATATCACAGGTGCTGAACGCACAGAGTAGAGAGAAACAGAACAGCAGCCCATTTTCAACCACAAAAGAAAGGAAGTGCAGATCCTAAACCTTGCCTGCTTCTGCTATCCATAGCCTCAAAACCCAAACAGAGCCCTAGCTACCCCAAATATGAGTATGTTATAAGGTAGTAACGCTTTTAGCCTACTTCAGTCACTCAGACTGTAAGGAACATCCCGTGATGGAAAAGTCTTCCCAGAAAAAAAAAAAAAAAAAAAGACGACTCAGTTTTCCTAAGTATCAAAATCAGTATTCTCTTTTCCAGATATCTAGGAAAAATGGAAGCCCAGCTTGTAATATTTTTTCCCTGGTCCTGACAACTAGCCTTTAATTTGCTGCCATCCGTACTTCAAGAAACTTCAGCCCCTTCATTAGGAAATCCCTCCCACAGGTTTACTCATAGTGAATGGAACATCCAGATCCAAACCAGAGTATTATTTAGAAGAGATGGATGATTTAAGCTCAATCTTCACTCACCATTTTTAACTTATTGTGCAAGTCTTTTAGCCTTGGGAGTATTAGAATATACATCGTTTTCTCATTAACAAAGAAGAAAGTTAAATGGGTTGTAACAGGAGATTTACAATCGTCTGCTCAAACCAAAACAACAGAACTTACTGTACAATCTATTCATCCAAGGAAAACCTCAAATACAGCCATGTTTCCTCAGACATCCTATAAAACTGTAGTACTTGGGTACATATATGCATACAAACTGCAAGCCATTCCCAAACTCAGAGCCCTCAGAGGTGCTGACTACACATTTATAATCAAGGAAAGTTATATCCAAAGGTTTCAAAATAACAGCAGAAAATGTAAACCAGCACTACAGAATCTGAGATGGAAAACCACAAGAATTTGTTTCATAAACTACACTTCCAGAAGTTTAGAAGAAGACTGCCTCAAAAAGAAGAGGTCTAAGAAACAAACTATTCATTCACCAGTGGGACCCAGATTCAAACCCACATCCCACATAATATGACATATCAGATCACCACCAACTGAAAAGCTACAGTTCTTAACGTATGGAACATTAAAAAAAAAAATACAGTTAGGCTTCCAACATTGAAGGAAAATATTTCGACAACAGGAACACTTTGCATTGAAGAGGAAAAAAAAGAGCCTTTGAGGCTAAAGAAGTGAGCATCCAGTCTCTAGATGCAGCACAGATTTCGATCAAGGTTTAAACAACTCGCTTCTGTCCCTCCAAAGCCTCTGTTCTCCCTGATAAAACAAGGGTACCTCCTCTCCCACCCCAGCATCCGTCTGAGCCTCTGAAGACTCAAATGTGCAACAATCAAAAAGAAAACCCCATGTTTTTTCAATAACCTTCAGCTCCGTTACATGAACATTTTGCTAGAGGAAATGCCTGAGTGAGTAGCCTTAGACAACTGTTTTACATTAAGGAGGAAGCATGTTAATTTACTGCACGAGTACTACTGCAATATGCACTTTTAGGAGGTACAGTATTGCGGCCACAGTTGCCATTTTCAGCGCCTGAGAATAAACACAAAAGCTGCCAACTTTAGGTTGCATAAGAGCACTTTAAGCGCATGGTTATTTACAAAAGTGAGGTAATTATAATGCAGGAGGTGGATCCCAAACAAACAGACTTGACTAACACTGTCCAAAAAAAAAAAAGAGAGATCTACAATTACTATTACTTAATTGCAGGACAGCTGCACAAACAGCCTTGCTGTACTACCAATATACAGCCGAAAAAACAGTTGGAGAAACATGCTGATGGCAGAAGCTACACACAGAGGGGAAAAAGGGGAAACGGTGCTTTTTGTCACAGCTTACCTGATCGGGACTTAATGATATCGCTGAACTCGCTGTGTCCCCCAGCAGGTCCTTCCTCCTGGTCGGAGACACGGGCCATCCTCACGGGCTGGGGTGCGCCACGGGCACAGCCTAAGTCCGTCGGGAGAGGGTTCCCATGAAGGACCTCAGCTCAGCACCAGCACCTACAGCACAGGACCGGGAGCAGAGATACAACGTAACTCCATGGGCTACACCAGGCGCGACTCCACACGCGAAGCACAGCCCGGGACCAGCTGGACAACTGACTAGTGACCAAGCGGCTGCTCC